TGGTTTAATTAACTCGACATTCTTCAAGCACGAGGACAAAGTTGAGGAAGCTCTGGCAGACACGAGGCTTTTTCAAAATAATTACGCGACGATCTCGCTTCAAGAGGGAGATGCTCTGCTCCTTTACTCGATCGAAACATCGCGCTCAGACATTTTGCTTTAATCCTGCAACTTTTCTAAAAACTGTCGTCATTAAATACCGAGGATTTCATACGATCATCGTGTTGATTAATTTCAACCCTTACCAAACGAGTAACATCGTCACACCCCGTTTCTCAAATAATGTCAACGATCGGAGAAGTCATTAATTTGTCTTTGCAAGTTTCATTTCACAACTTAACTAGATTTCTACAATTTTTATTTCGCAAGTACCACCTGCACAAAAACATTTTCATCCTCTTATTCGCAAACTGCACGGAAAGCAACGAAGTTGAAACTAGAGTGTGGATGAGGGGATGGGGCGAGTCGTTAGAGAAGGTAAAAGAGATGCAAAAATACACCGAAGGGTGGACAAGAAATTTCCTCGGTTTTGATCTGACTGAAATACGACTTTGATTCTCAGCCGGATAAAAGGGTTGTCACTGAAGGACCAACGCGAGTGGTGTCGTTACTCGCGTACCATAGGAACCTTCATATCCCCCATGGAATTTCATTTCAAAGGACTCCGCTGCTTCTACAGAGAACTATCTCCAACTGGAGCTTCTCCGTGAAAATGTATTCATGGATCGCCATTTAATTGTTTCGTGATTACCTTGTTCTTGTTCGAAGGTATTTGTTATATCCAGGGGAGAATTGTTCATATTCTTGATTAATTACAATTATTCTTGGGGTACGTTATTTAGGTGGAAATTTAAGCATCCTATTGTAATTATGTAGGTCTTTCAAAATTTTCAAAGTTAGTGGTAAGAGAAGGAGCGATAGATCAGGGTGTGTTGTGCTCTTGACGCGTTGTGTTAGTGGCGCGTTGTGTGACGAGGCGGGCAAATTCAACGCATTGAGAATTTGGTGCGCTGTGTAGTCGACGCGTGGAATATTCGATGCGCTGTGTACTCGACGCGTGGAGTATTCGATGCGCTGTATACTTAACGCATTGAGAATTCGGCGCGCTGTGTACTCGACGCGTAGAGGATTCGACGCGTGGAGTATTCGACGCGTTCAATATTCGACGCGTGGAGTATTCGACGCGTGGAGTATTTGACGCGTTGAGTATTCGACGCGTGGAGTATTCGACGCGTGGAATATTCGACGCGTTGAGTATTGGACGCGTGGAGCATTCGACGCCTTGAGTATTCGACGCGTGGAATATTCGACGCGTGGAGTATTCGACGCGTGGAATATTCGACGCGTGGAATATTCGACGCGTTGAGTATTTGACGCGTGGAGCATTCGACGCGTGGAGCATTCGACGCGTTGAGTATTCGACGCGTGGAATATTCGACGCGTTCAATATTCGACGCGTTGAGTATTCGACGCGTGGAGTATTCGTCGCGTGGAGTATTCGACGCGTGGAATATTCGACACGTTCAATATTCGACGTGTGGAGTATTCGACGCGTTCAATATTCGACTCGTGGAATATTCGACGCGTGGAGTGTTGTTGCGTAGAGTATTCGACGCGTGGAACATTCGATGCGCTGTATACTTAGCGCGTTGGGAATTCGGCGCGTTATGTACTCGACGCGTTGTGTACTCAATGCGTTAAGAATTCGGCGCTTTGTGTACTCGACGCGTTGAGGATTCGGCGCGCTGTGTATTCGACGCGTGGAGTATTCATAGAATGAACGTAGAAATCTACAGTTTTATAAACATATAATAATGTACTAACACAATGATTCAAATCTATAGAAATCTTACAAAAATATAATGGTATCTAATCCAATAATCTAGTGTCCCAAAATTACAAGTATCTAAGAATCAGAATGGAAGGAATTGTAGAAATGCCCACAGAGTAGTTAAAATCAATGTATATATTATTAATCTTAGCGTATAATAACTAAGTTTCATAAAGTATTACACGGTGATCAAGAAATTGCCGCTAATTTGAGAAGCAATTAGCCACCTGCTTATAAGCTGTACGAGGATGTCCGATTCCCTGACAGGAACATCATACTTTCACCGGTGATTTCACACTCTCAGCGAAGGGCATCATCATCGTGTCTCGCCTTTTACACCAGATACTCGCACATTTCCGTTTCGTTTCGCGGTTTTTGCGAGACCTTCGCGCGTCCACCTGCGGCCTCTAATCGGTCTCGCGAATATACACGTCGCTTCAAAATAAGTGCATGAACTATAAATTCCGATCGTTTCACGACGTTAATTCCGTTCTGCCAAATTTAATATCGGTGTAACGTAGAGAATATATACTCGATTAATTTGAAGAATTTGCACGAGAAGTAATATCCATGAAAGTTTCGGCCCAAGAGTATTCGCCAAAAAAATCCCTCCTTCATTTTTAATAGCCGTCTCCTTGTTCTTTGTACCGTAGCCTTTTATGCATATAAAACGTATATAACCTCGAGCCAGGACCAAAAGAGGCGTAAAAAAGGAGGAGGACGAGGCTGGAGCGGTTCACAATTATAATTTAGACCGAAAAAAGAACCGGCGGACGGAAAGTGAGATGGATCGTTTTGCTCGATGACCCCGTAAGAAACGCGTTGAAAAGCAAGGACCACGGAGGCATCAGCAGTTTAGACTTTTAAATGAGAAAGGATTTAACGTTAACAAAGAGGCCGAAATAAACGGGGACGATGTATCGCGGCCTTCGAGCGTCTACGACATTAATCCCGGAATGAAACGAGTAACTCGCAGCTGATAACGGTTATCAAAGTAATCGAGCAGAAACCACCGAGAACAGGAACGTTTATCACCGAGGTGTCATCGGGATTATGATAAACATTGTTCGGTGTAATTTGTTAAAAAATGAGGTTTTTTTAACACTGAAATTACGGAATTTAGATTTCTTTTTATGAAAATTAGTAAAAAGCTTTTGACAAAGTATAAATTCGTTGATAGAAAGAATTGTGTAAACTAGTTTAGTTATCCATTATACATTTAACGTTCCGTGAATTCAAAGGGAATTTAAAGCGTAGAGAATTTGGCGCACTGTGGATTTAACGCAATGTCGTTTCGGTGCGTTGCGAATTTAACACATTAGAAATCTAATACGATACTAATTCAATGCGTTGCAAATCTAACGCACTGCAGTTCCAGCGCGCTGCAAATCCAACGCATCGATATTTCAACGCGTTGCAAATTTAACACGCCGCAAATTCGACGCGTTTCAAATCCAATGTCCTGCAAATTCAACGCGCCGCGAATTCAGCGCACTGCAAATTCAACGCAATGCAAATTCAACGCACCGCAAATTCAACGCACCGCAAATCCAATGCGTCGTGAATTCAACGCGTTGCAAATTTAATGCGTCGTAAAATCGACGCGTTCCAAATCCAATGTGCTGCAATTTCAACGCACCGCAAATTCGACGCACCGCAAATTCAACGCACCGCAAATTCAATGCACCGCAAATCCAATGCGTCGTGAATTCAACGCGTTGCAAATTTAATGCGTCGTAAAATCGACGCGTTCCAAATCCAATGT